TCTGCTAATGAATATATGAAAATAGATTACATATAATGTGCACACTGTGAGTTGCATTTGCAGAATTATTTTTGCCACCTCTAGCGCTATCTGAAACCAACACTGAATAGCAGTAGTACTTGAGCTTCCAGTTGCAAGAAAAATCACCTTTAAAAATTAAAAGAAAAGCAAGTGTCTTATCTGTAGAATTTACTTTTATGGGATAATTCTTGGGAATATAACAGTTTTATCTCAGTCACATCCTGTTGTCCTGTTAAACCTCTATTGTCCCTTAAAATCAGCCCACATGAAAAGAAGACAATGTTCTTCTTCAAAGCTCTGATGGACGACTTTAGAGACTGAGGTTTCAGGAACACTCTGTCTTTTTGCTGAGCTGTTGGTAGAACACAATAGATAACATTTACTGAGCTCATAAGGGGGTCACTGCTTGCCCATAGCAGTTTATAAACTGTTAGTTGTAGCGTTACATGTAAAGTCCCGCAGAGTAAAGCAAAAATATATAATAATGATACTATTGTGCTGGTTGCAGGAGTTTAATTTAAGTGTAATTGGGGTATTGAGTTATTTAAATATCAGTACTTTTATGTTCTCATATAATTGTCTTAGAAGAATCACTGTTTTGCACTGATAAAATACTTCTAATCTAGGATTCTCTCAGATGCCCTATCCCCCAAATATATTTGAGTAATAAACTTGCTGAAAGTTCAACACGTCAACGATGACTTGCTGTAACAAACTGTAGTCTTCCCAGGCCCCTGCCTTTCCTGGTTAGAGGATTATTGTGATGAGACCAAAAGATCAGATTTAACACACCCAGCAGACTTAGAACACAGGAAAATAGTCTTTTGTGGCCCTCGGGTTGCCCTGTCCCTAGCTAGCTCCCTCATAACTGAAGGTAAAAGCAACTAGATGAGAGTGTGGATCATTCTCACTAAATTGTTATCACTGGCAGTAAAAAAAACGACTCCAAAAAATGATCTTATTTGGTGGGCCAAACATGAAGAGCATTATGTTAAGATAAAATGGGAAACAATTACATCATAAGATGCCATTTATTGCATTTTTTTTCTATATGCCAAACACTGGGCTAAACACTGAACAAGCATGATCACTTTTAACTTTCAACAACTCTGGGGATCACCCAGAATGGGGATAACCATTCTATGGATGAGGGGAACTGAGGGTCAGAAGGTTAAAATTTTTGCACAAGTTCACACAGAAGTGTGAGCTGGGATTTGAATTTAGGCATCTTGTCCCAGAGCTTCTCAACCCTGTCCCCACAGCTGTGCTGTATACCAATTGTTAGCATGTGTATTTCTCAGACTTTGAATTGATTATCTGGATATCAAAGTCACAGGCTAATAAAAAGAAGTATGTAGTAAGAAGTGTGCTCAAGTCAGGCAGCACCTGAAAGGCTGTACAATAGAGGGCAAAGTGAAAGCCGCATGCAGGGCCGCGGGCTGCTATGGGATGTTTCCTGCAATACTGAATGCCATGTTTGCTGGGAAACATTGCTTAAAAACAAATACATCGGCCATCACTACCTGTGTGTGTACTTGCTGTATTGGAGCAATCTTCCCAGTCACCACCAAGAATGAACCACAGTGAACTAGAAGATGTGTCCTCTGATAAACAATGTCGGTGATGCAGCCACACAGGAAAAGCCATGGTTTGAACCTCTGCGGAGCCCATTTCCTGAGACTCTGTGGGGCACAGCAGTAAGAGCTGCTGTTATATTGAGAGTCTCCTGTCCACCAAGCACTGTGCTAGCTCAGTTTGGTTTTAGGACACTATGAAGTAGGTTGAGTGGTAAGATCCCCAAGCTGCAAATGAAGAAACTGAAACTCAAATTTCCCTAAGATCAACCACATAAATGGCAGAATTGGAATAGAAAGTGTTACCGATGACTGAAATAATTGGAAATACACATAAGGGCTAAAATCTTGTGAAGGTTCCCCAATTAAATTCACAAGGTAGACTTTGTTTTGAAGTGAACTGAGATACTTTCTAAATCAAAGGTCTGTTTAATATTCTCCACCTTTAGAATGGATGCATGCTGATGCCAAAGTACAGGAAGAAGAATTCCGTGTGGAAGACTGCAGGTGTGTCTAGTTAGGCCAAGAGGTATAAAAGGCTGGGCAGTTGTCTGATACACCTGCTGTTTGCTTCATCAGCTTCTCGCAGTTAGTGGATGCTAAGCAGATATTTGTGATTTGTTTCAATAGCAGGGATTTTTGTCTGAATGTTTAAATATTCACCTTAGTTTGGTTTTCCTTTGGTAGACTGACTCCATGTTCACTTTGGGAGAATTTCAACTTATACATGGCAGTCTTAAATAATGTTCAGAAAATATGATTAAGTATAGCATTTATTTGAGCCCAAACTTGAGGATAGCCACCTGGGAGTACAGATTCAAGTTGCCTTGTAAACTCGGATTAACAGCAGTTACAAGTGAATTTTTAAAGGAAACAATAAGCAGCAGCTCCTAAATTGTTAACCAAGAATTTGTATTTAAAAAACGTAAGCTACTGTCTGGGCATGGCGGCTCATGCCTATGATCTCAGCACTTCGGGAGTCTGAGGCAGAGCACTTAAGCCCAGCAGTTTGAGAAGAGCCTGGGCAACACAGCAATACCCCCATCTCTACAAAAAATTTAAACACTAACTGGGCATATTGGCACATGCCTGTCATCCCAGCTACTCAAAAAAATTGAGGCAGGAGGATTGTGTGAGCTCAGGAGGAGCTCTACCTCCAGGAGGTAGAGGCTGCAGTTAGCTATGGTCATACCATTGCACTCCAGCCTGGGTGACAGTGAGACTCTTTCTCAAAAAAATTTTTGTAAACCATAAGCTGTTGTTCTTTGTATCACAAATTCCAGTAACATGAAGATAATGGAGGCAGCATCTAGCCAGGAACAAAATGGGTTTAAATAGTCCCCCCACCACCACCCCTGCATTTCTCTCAGGGCGTGATAAATTTTCCATACCTCATATAGCTCACGTGGTTCTGAGCGGTTTTTCTTTTCTCAGTGGATATAGTGTTAGATTGAGATGTACTTTCCTTCTGTATTTCTTGACCCTTTAAAAAAATGCATTGGTATTTTGCAATTCAGAATCTATTACATTATGGAAAGGGGTCCAAAAACCTTGAGAGCCATCTTGTGGTTAAAGTGTCCCCCAATTCTTAGGTTAGTTTCAGAATTAAAGAGTTTAACATTTTTTTTATTACTTTCTTGTCATCACAATTGTGCCTCATTATTTATAACTATTTTGCATTCTCCAATATTTAAAAAAAACTCCAATATTTAAAGTTAAAACTTCCCATGTATAAAAACATTTACATTTTTAAAAATCACTGCCAACAAGTATGTGTGCTCATGTATGAGTACAGATGTGTACATTTCTATACATTTTTAAAGACTTGTTTATCTCTGAGTGAAGACAATGAATATGTTTTATTTTTTGTTCCATATACTTTTCTGTATTTTCTATATTTCATTCAATAAGCTGATGTAATTTTTCATTTTTTTAATTAAACAAAAGTTTAGCCTAAAATTACACTTAAACATTAGCAGCTGCTGCTGGGGGAAGATGGACAAATTGCCCAAGCAGCCACATTAGAAGAAGAAAGCCATCTGAATACAGTTATTTATTTTTATGGAGACAGTATCTTGCTCTTTCACTCAGGGTTTTGCTCTGTCGTCACGGTTTACTGCAGCTTCGACCCAGGCTCAAGTGATCCTCCAACCGCAGGCCCCTCTCCCCCACCAGTAGCCGAGAACTTAAGCAGGCACAGGCTAGCACCACCACATTAAGCTAATTTTTTTTTTTTTTTTTTTTTGAGGCAGGATCTCAGTATGTTGTCCAGGCTGGTTTCGAACTCCTCGGCTCAAAGTGCCGGGATTACATGGCAGGTGGCTGAGTACAGTTATTCAGTATAAGCATAATAAAAACAGAATGGCAGCCCAGTTCCTGTGTTAATGAAATAGTAAGGGTGTAACTAGGGCAAGCTGACCCTGTTTTTGTCACATGAATTTGCTTTAGAAAGCACTCTTGAGAACACAAACAAAACATTTTAGAAACACACATTTTAATATAAAATGGACTGCGTTTTGTGGCTTTATGATAATTTCCAACATGAATCTCCTTAAGAAGTGAGTCGAATGCTCTGGAGAGATCTAAATGTAATACAATCTCACAGGGAACAAAATAAGGAGTTGCCGTGGTAAACTTTTTGCTTTGCCAGCTATGGGCTACAATGATTGGTTGATATCATCCTAAAATGAACTAAAATCACAAATTCATTTTCACGGATTTCTTGTTATGTTGCTTCCTGAAGAAAAAACAAGTATATTAACTCTTGGCTATGGCAATTAAGAATAAAACAGTCAAGGGGAAAAAAAAAAAAAAAACAATGGTCAGATTTATAAAGTTACGTGTATTTGGCTTTGAAATATTTTTGGAACGTGAAATTGGCCTTGGTTAAGTAAATATGAATTCAATTTGCCATGTCTTAGAACATACCTATTTGAAGGCATTGAGAAGAGATTGAGAAATTCTGAAACTGAATGTACTTGTGATAATTATCAAGCCGTAATGCAAATAACAGAAAGGTGATTGTCCCATTCCTGCACAACATCTTTCTCATGGTAATTTGAAGAACAGGGTCTTTCAAGTATCTTTTTTGCCTTCCTACTACAGCAATACCTCACCTGTGATGAACCTGTCCTCTTACAACCTTCTCTATCACAAACCATCTGAGAAGTTAGGAAGTAAGCAAATAGGCCTTTAGGTTGCCAAAACAGGGTCCCAAAGTTCAAGCGCTACAGTGCGTGCACCTGATTTCAGAGAAAATCTCTTTAGACCCAGTACATCCTATTTATAATTGGTTTTTACACAAGCTTAGTTATCTGGTTGGGTTCCAAGACATAGCTAATTCTAAGTCAAAATATTAATTACAGGTAGAGGGAGGGCCTTATAAGATCTAGCATATGACTACAGAAGGAAGGAAAACATTAAAAAGGATAACATTCAGTAACATCCAGGGCCATGTAGTGTTGGGGCAAAATGTCTTATAAATCTTAGGAGGCCTTCAGAGCATTACAGGGTATATAATTTATACTTTTTTTTATAAGTGTCTAATTTTTTGAGAAGAGTTAAGTCTTTATTTGGTATTACACTTTGGCGTATAATGTGAAATATTCTTTATTTGATTTTTATTAGATTTTGTTATTTATAAGTTTTTTTTTTTTTTTTTTTTGAGACAGAGTCTTGCTCTGTCGCCAGGCTGGAGCACAGTGGCGCAGTCTCAGCTCACTGCAACCTCTGCCTCCCGGGTTCAAGCGATTCTTCCGCCTCAGCCTCCCAAGTAGCTGAGAATACAGGCACATGCCAAACGCTCGACTAAGTTTTGTATTTTTAGTAGAGGCAGGGTTTCACTATGTTGGCCGGGATGGTCTTGATCTCTTGACCTCATGATCCACACAGCTCGGCCTCCCAAAGGGCTGGGATTACAGGCTCAAGCCACCGTGCCCGGCCTTATTTATAAGATTTTATTTATAAAGTATATTTGATATACTACACACCAAAGTGTAATATCAAATAAAAATATTTAACTCCTAAAGTATTACACTTTAGTGTATAATATCACTCTAAATATTGCACACTTCTGTAAAGTCCATAATATTAAACATACTAACGTGTGTGTATCGAACAAAGTAGTGCCAAAATATCAAATAAATGTTCTTTATTTCATAAACTACGCTAAAATGCCTTTCAGTAAGTAAAAGGAACCATTGTAGATACAGGGAATTCTAATTAGATTGGCATAAAGCCAAAAATATAAAGTAGACATTGCTACCTTATCTTCAGCCCTTGCCTTTAAGAGACAAGAGAATATGAAATAGTGGTAAATTTTGCTTGGTTCCAAGATACTGAAGGAATTTCCCTAGTATTTAAATATATTCACAGTACCAGTTATATAAATCTAAACATAAAACCAATTGCCAATAGGTTTTAAGGTGGTATTCACCATCTGTATGAAAAGTTGACCATTGCTAATAAAGTCTGATCATATCTTTAGAAGGGGGAAACAGATAGCATTTACTGAATCGGAATTACTATTAAAATTCAAAGAAACAGACATACTCGTTTAACCACGATCCAGTCATAGTTAAATCAGAACTGCCCAACAAAACTATTCTGTCTGTTATAATGATCTGAATTCTAGTGTATGAGATCTATTAAATTATGGGACACATAAAAAAGTCATGACATGTTCCTGTTTTGTAATAAACAAACAAGGTAGTGGCTAATGCTCATTGTTAGCTTTTTTTGAGATAAGCCATCAGGTCTGCCCTTTCTGCCTTCTTCTTAATGCCAGTGAAGATCATTTTCATTCTAGGGATGTACTTCTTGGGATTCTCCAAGTAGTCCATCAGTGTATCCTCGCCCCAGGTGATGCTTTTGTTCTCAGTGGCGTCTGTGTAAGAAAATCCAAAGCCTGACGTGTCCTCTGTCCAGAGACCATGGAGATGTGGCCCAGTCTTGTGTTTGCCTCCCTTTCCCACAATGTGGCACTGGGCACACTTCTGGACAAAAATCTTGCTTTTCTCAACATCATTCATATTTAATTCTCTCTTTCGTCACTGGCACTGCTAAGGTTCCCATTCAGAGGGCCAACTTCCTGTTCTCCAAATTTCTAATAAGTTTTCTGATGACTGTTTATCATCAAGAAAGTAAATTCTATTCAGAATTCTCTAAAAACAAATATGTCATAGTTTTAGCAATATTCCTTTAAAAATATTTATGATAACTGCCCCCTTTGTTTTCATGTGTTTACATGGGTAAAACTCTTTCTATTTGGAAATTCAGCTATCCCAAGTACTTACTAAAGCTCTAATCAGCTGAGCTTCATTGCTGATGTTCTGAAATACATGATCACAGAGATTTCTGAAGTTCAGATTTACTTCATTATATTCTTTGAGAGAACTATCCAGAAAGTGACTTCTATTTCCAGTTTGCAAAATGTTTCTCTTGTAGCCCAAGGGAATGTGTTCCTGATGAATACCAGTAGACTTGACCAACCGGAGGACCAACTACAGAATTTCCAATGTTTATAATGCCTCCATCCCAGAGTTTATAACAGTTCTTTATGGTTATTTAAACTCATGCAAGGCTGAGCTTGTATCTCATTACATAATAGTACAAAGTAACTCAGCCAAAACTCTTGGTTCACTCCTCTGGCCTTTTTTGTCTTGTAACCGCCACCTCTGTGATTTTTGCTGCTTCCAAATAAAGGCCAAACCACATGTGTCATCTTCTACATCCTCTTATAGTGCCAGAAAGCCTCACTCTCTAGTTCTCCGATAACCATAGCAGTTGTGAGCATTCTAGATCTTATTTAACTTAAGACAGTGGGTTAATTTTAGGCATGACTATAGAGGGATAATGCAAATTCTTTCACAGCAACTTGAAGTTCAGCCTTCACAGAGGCAAGGAGTACTACAGGTGGCAGAAAATTATTCCTGCCAGCAAATAGTAGTAAAACCAGTTTCTTTAGAACAAAAGGAGGAGAAGACACATCCAGTAGCAGCGGGATTAAATTAGACAGTGGGAGTCGGCTACGCAAACAGTACTTTTTTGAGTGCTTATTGCTGTTCAAGCATTTGGGGATGCGCTATGCGTAAATACATGTTCTGATAAATCGGTTCTTTGTCCTTTATCTTTGTATTGGGGTGGACAAACAAATGTTCCTGGAGGCAAAATAACAAGCCACCATATTCACAAAAGGAAGATAAGGAAGTACAAACTGGTTACATGAATGGCGAGGGGGAACATCTATTGTAATTTTCAAGGTTTCTTCGTTTATGAAGGCTTTTAGGAGGAAGTGAGGTTTGAATCAAAGATGGGCCTCCAGCGGAACCTGAAATGATGAAGAGAAAGGGGAAGCCGTGAACTTCCAGGCATATAGGATCTCCTTTGTGGCCAATAGACTCATGAAACAGGGTTATACCTCTTTTATCACAAAAGATGTCACCTTTGGGTTATGGTCCACAGGCATGTTCGCCAGTCAATGGCGATATCTTCACCTGCAGAGTGAACATGAGAACTGGGAAAGCAGCCTGGACAGTCGGAATAGGAAAAACACTTCCCTAAAATATTTAGACAAGTAATACAAAATTTATTTTAGGAAACTGCCTTAGTTCTCTGCTTTTACATGACGTGTTCATAAAAGAGAAGAGGCGGGTTAGAAATGGGGTGGAGGTGAGAATAAATGGCTTCAATTCAGAAGTTGTCATGCCAGATTTTTCTCCTCCCTATTTCTATTTATGAAACTTTGCACAGCACCCTCAATTTTGAGGGTATATTTAGGATGTGTTTCCACTTGGCGATGGAGAACACAGATCCCCTTGTCCACAACTGGGTGGGTTTATTAGAAGAGAGAGCATGAAATAAAGATGAGGGAGACACCCAGGATGAGGTGCATTTTTTTTCCGAAACACTCACCTGAAGTGCCAGATGCTCCAAAAGCTTTTGCATTTACGGAGAGTAAGAAATCTCTCTGCTGTCTGTGCTTCGCTGGAAAGTAGAGGGACTATGGCTCTTTCAAGTGGGGGAGATTTGTGTAACAGAAGGAAACAGCAGAAAATAGGTCAGAAAAGTCAAGTGACCTGCAGAGATGGGTGTTTGGAGATGTGCAAGCAAGTTTCCACAATCACTTACCAGATTCACTTACAAATATCAGGAGTAAAGGCCGAAAGTAGAAACATGTATTCTGGGCAGGAGGGAGTGAGGAAGAGGGAGGAGTGGGTTATCATTTTTCCTTCAAATCACTACCATTTGCAGCATTTTAAAAAACATTTCCTTAAAGTCATTTTGTTCAACGGATGACAGTATTTCTTGGGAAGATAGTTAAAAAAAAAAAGGAAAAACAATTCAATTTTTTTTTCCTTTTCAACCACCACCTTCCTTTTCTCCCACCTGTGAATACAAGACAATTTCATTCTTTGGGTACTTTCTTGGCCCTATTCTGCTTGAATATCCCAACATTGTACAATCACTTTTTCTTTCAAGCAGTAACCTAGTACCAAACAGAATTTTAACATCACTACTAATTCTTTGAACAAGGCTGTGTTGGCAATTATGAAACAGGGTAGACATTGGCAAGTGCTTTCAGAATAATTATAGGGTTTCTCAAGTTGTACAGTATAAATAATTGCTGGTTTAAAAGCATTATTGTGAACAGCAATTTATACTAAAATTTGTATTTGCTCCTTGACACCCATATATGTTGAGAGTGCCTCACTCCCTCTCCTACCTCCCCTGCCTCTTCGCCTTAAGCTCTCAAGGGCTTTGGAACCTTTTGGTTTTATTACACTTTAAACTTAGCAAGGCAACTACATGTCTAGGCCATAGTAAATAAGACTAAGAGTAATGCATTTAATCAATGGGCATGAATGAAGTAATGAAACTGTTTCATCTCTGGCCACCTGGTGTGCTCCCCGGACGCTGATGTACAGGAAGACCATTTTGGTACAGAGAGAAGCTAAGAACTGCAGTGGCATCACTTTTGTCTGGCAAGTAGGGCACACTGAGGATTATCACCTCTTCCTTGGCTTATGATGGTGTGGATGCAGGGCACAGAGGACCGAGACACAGGAAGCCCTTGGAGATCATGCAGTTCTAAAGTGGCCACAGAGACATTAAAATATATGTTTTCCTCTCTGTGGAAATTTAAATTTTATCCTATGGTACATTAAAAATGGGTGGGTATATCAGAAAAGTGGGGGAGTGAGCGTGGGGGAAAGAAAGCCTTGATGAATGGGGGAGAATGGTTTTTGAAGGGTTCTTCTCTTTGGGTGAATGCTAAAAAGCAGTCCTCCTTTTCCAAACAGGTGACCGTATGTGTCATCTTCTTGTCTTTCTGTTGATCCTAGTGGATTCTCTTACCCAGCCTGAGAACTCCCCTGAGATTTTTCACACCCTGAATGTTTCTCACCAAAGTAGCTAGTGTTCTAGGATAATGTGTTTTTTGTTTCAACTGTGGTTCCTGGTTTATGCTCTCTAAAGCCCTTTTAAGCCATATTTTCCATGATTGTTCAGTGCTGGCTTTGGTATTTAAATAAGTCTTTCAATGGGTCGTTAGCCCTGTAATTAATTCTAGCTATTTTTAAATGGTGCCTTGGTTATTAAGGCACCGCCATATTCACAACAGTCTTGTCTTTCTTGAAGAATTACTAAGCATTTGCTGATTTTTTTAGTGCCAAAAATATTGCAGTTTTATCTCATTAATAGGAATATATTTCTCATTA